AATGTTCAAAGGAGGGGCAAGTTTTTTTTAAAAACACGAGGAGTGGTAGGAGTCTGGAATGCACTGCCATGGGTGGTAGTGGAGGCAGATATGATAGGGACATTTAAGGGACTTTTAGATAAGCACATGAATGTACAAGGAATGGAGGGATATGGACTAAGGGCAGGCAGAAGGGATTAGTTTATTTTGCCGTCATGTTTGGCACAACATCATGGGCCGAAGGGTTGTTCCTGTGCTATGCAGTTCTACGTTCGGAAGGTGATTATAGATGCGACATTGCCTCAGCTATGACAGTGGGGACTGGGGATTGGGGGGAGTGGGGGTGGGGGTTGGGTGGGTGGGTGGTGAGCAGAGGAGGAGCAGGGTTGAACCATGCAAGGTCTAACATCAACACAGTTGTAATGTCAATAAAGGAGAGCATTTCAAAAAAGAAGATCCTTCCTTAGACAGCATCATTTTTTGGAGCAGAAACAATTCATTCATTTCTAGTTAGAGGCTGTAATTAGGCACAGCAAATTCACACATGCACTTACGTCACAACTGTCGACAAATTTAAATTAGGGAAACAAATCAAGGATGTAGTTAAAATGGAGTGAATTAAATCTAATTAATCTTGGTACATAACCATACTTCACTTGAATATTACACCTGACCAACCCTTTCAATATATGATTAGAAAAATTGATTGTTCAGTCCCTAATTACACAGATAATTGAGTGTTAGGCTGTCATATTATAAAACCATGATATAGGAGATTCATCCTGATCATCGACGTATCACATTAATACAGGCAGAGCTGTACAGCATGGAAACAGACCCTTTGGTCTAACATGCTGCCCAGATATTCTAGATAAATCTAGTCCTGTTTGCCAGCATTTGGCCCATATACCTTTAAACCCCTCCAGATGCCATTTAAATGTTGTAATTGTGCCAACCCCTACCACTTCCTCTGGCAGCTCATTCCATACACTCACCACCCTCTGTGAAAAAGTTGCCTTTAAGCCACCTTTAAATCTTTCCCTTCTCACCTTAAACCTATGCCCTCTAGTTTTGGACTACCCTACCCTGGGGGGAAAGACCTTGGCTATTTACCCTATCCATGCCCCTCATGATATTATGAACTTTAATAAGGTCACCCCTCAGCCTCCGATACTCCAGGAAAAATAGCCCCAGCCTATTCAGCCTCTCCTTATAGCTCAAATCCTCTAACCCCAGCAACATCCTTGTAAATCTTTTCTGAACCCTTTCAGGTTTCACAACATTCTTCCTACAGCAGGGAGACCAGAACTGAATGCAGTATTCCAGAAGTCACCTAACCAATGTCCTGTATAGCCTCAACATGACCTTTCAACTCCTATACTCAATGCACCTGACCAATAAAAGGCAAGCATACCAAAACACCTTCTTCACTACCTTTATTCTACCAGCTACTCCACTTTCAAGAAACTATGAACCTGTACTCCTGTACTCCAAGGCCTCTTTGTTCAGCTACACTCCCCAGGACCTTACCATTAAGTGTATAAGTTCTGCCCTGACTTGCCTTTCCAAAATGGGGCACCTCACATTTTTCTAAATTAAATTCCATCTGCCACTCCTTGGTCCACTGATAAAGATCCTATTGTACTTAGATAACCTTCCTGGCTGTCCACTTACAAACACTAATTTTGGTGCCATCTGCAAACTTACTAACCATACCTTCTACGCTCACATCCAAATCTTTTTATATAAATGACAAAAAGCAGTAGACCCAGCACTGACCCTTGTGGCACAATGCTGGTCACAGGCTTCCAGTTTGAAAAGCAACCCTCCAACACTACTCTGTATCCTGTTGAGCCAGTTCTGTTTCCAAAGGCTTGTTCTCCTTGTATCCCACGTGATCTAACCTGGCTAACCAGTCTACCATGCGAAACCATGTCTTCCTGCAGTCCATATAGATTATGTCCACCACTCTGCCTTCTTCAATCCCCTTCGTTACTTCAAAAAAAAACTCAGTCAAGTTAGTTAGTCACGATTTCCCACACACAAAGCCATGTTGACTATCCCTAATCAGTCTTTGCCTTTCCAAATACATGTAAATCCTGTCCCTCAAGATCTCCTCCAAATACCTGCCCACCATCGATGTCAGGCTCACTGGTCTATAGTTCCATGGCTTTTCCTTACCGCCTTTCTTAAACAGTGGCACATTAGCCAACCTCCAGTCTTCCAACACCTCATCTGTGGCTATCAACAAGACAAATATCTCAGCAGGAAGCCCAGCAATCACTTCCCTAGCTTCCCACAAAGTTCTAGGGTACACCTGATCAGGTCCTGGGGATTTATCCACCTTTAAGCGTTTTAAAACATCTAGCACCTTCTCTGTAATATGTACATTTTTCAAGATGTCACTATTTATTTTTCCCAAGTTCTCTGGCTTTCATCTCCTCCTTCACAGTAAACACTGATGCAAAATACTCATGTAGTATCTCCCCCATCGCCTGCAGTTCCACACATAGGCGGCTTTGCTGATCTTTAAGGGGCCCTATTCTCTCCCTAGTTACCCTTTTATCCTTCATGTGCTTGTAGGATTCCTTTGGATTCTCCTTAACTCTATTTGCCAAAGCAATCTCATATCCCCTTTTTGCCCTCCTGATTTCCCTCTAAGTATACTTCTAATGCCTTTATACTCTAAGGATTCACTTGATCCCTGCTACCTATACCTGACATGCTTTTTTTTCTTGACCAAAACCTCAATTTCTCTAGTCATCCAGCACTCCCTATATCTACCAGCCTTATCCTTCACCCTAACAGGTATATACGGTCTCTGGACTCTATCTCATTTCTGAAGGCTTCCCACTTTCCAGCTGTCTCTTTACCTGCAAATATCCACCCCCAATCAGCTTTCGAAAGTTCTTGACTAATACCGTCAAAATTGGCCCTCCAACTTAGAACTTTAACCTGGTCTATCCTTTTCTATCACTATTTTAAAACTAATTGAATTCTAATCAATGGCCCCAAAGTGCTCCCTCCAATGACACCTCAGTTACCTGCCCTGCCTTATTTCCCAAGCATTAAGTTTTGCTCCTTCTCTGGTAGGTACATCCATATATTGAATCAGAAAATTTGCTTGTACACACAAATTTTAAAACCATATTTTCATATTCCTTGAGGTATAACAGGATGAATTAAAGGATTTGGAAGGTTTGTAACAACTTGACTGGTCATGCATGCAGTCAAAATCACCACCCATTGTCAAATATGCCACTCTATTCCTGAAACTAGTGGTTAGATTGGAGTATGATTGCACAAGTACCAATAACCCTGTAGCACCTTTTGACATTTGATGTGCATTAACAGGCAGAAACGACATGTAGGCAGCAATGAAGACTCTTCTCCTTGCAAGTGCAAGAATAAGGATTCTACCTGCACAGATCACACCAACAGCTATGAAACAGGTTAAGCACCAAGTATGAAATTTACTTAATTTAATAAAAACAAGTTATTTCATTTGTTTTCAAGTGTCCTCTGCAGACCCTCAATTAGACAAGTCAAAAATCTCATCTCCCCGAGAATAGGACAGATACTTATTAATTTACATTCCCTTCTTACAAGATTTCTCCACTCTAGACATTTTTCAACATCTACTCAGCAGAGATGAGCTTGCCTTTAAAAGCACTGAACTATCATGCAGACTTAAAACTGAGCAATCAAGATTTCCTGAAAAAAGTTCACTTAAATATTTTACACAACTACAATACCTTGTGCATCAATTAACATGCGTAATGTTCCAAGTAGTTTGAACTGAACGGGTGGCATCTCCGACTTGAGAAATTTCAGGACTTGCTCTGCAACTCCTGCCGATAGCATCTTAGCTTTATTTAATACTGGGGAAAATAAGGAATTCAAGTGAATGATTTTCATGTGTTACCTGGTCAGGACAGAAAATAGGTAGTAACAGTGGAAAATAAAAAAAGGACTCGACCACAGTAATATATTTTTAACTCTGGTTACACAGCTGTCATGATACACTCACCACACTTGATGTTATTTTAAGCAGAAAGGCCCAATGCATTAATTTCACTTCAGTTTGAACGTTTTTCTCCTCCAATGCACAACTTTCCCACCCCTAAAAATTCCTGCCAAATTAGTGATAGATTAACAAAACTGTTTCTCTAGCACTTTCATTAACCTAAAAGCTTGGTTTTCGGCAGGACATTCTTTCCACAGTTGATCAGTCAAGTCAGTCAAATCATACAATTCATATTGAGGGAGATTTTGGGCCTATGAGCTAGAAAGACATTAATGTTTATTGATTTCGACAGCGCACTGAGGTTACAAGTAAACAATACACACCCATTTACCCGCATGACGAAAAGGTCCATTGGGAGCATACTAAAACAAGTCTCTCATGACAATTCGCAATGTTGGGTCTCAACAACCCAGAACCTGAATCCCTATTCCAAGTCATAACTCAAGAATCCTCTAATGCAGTACTGCAAGATTTTGATGTGTAGCCTTTATCAGCAAAAAGCAGAGCTTGCTGAAATTGTAGCAGTTTAATCAACTTTCAAACTTATTGCACACCCACCAATTCAGAGAGCTCATCTTATGTCTGACAACCTAGACTATTTGAGTTTCAAATTTAGTTCTAGACATCATCTGCTTAGGTTTTGGAACCAGTAAAAGAATTTACTGCAATTAAATACATTGAAAATGTAAAGCAGAGAGTTAAATGGGCCAAATGTAGCATCATTAGAATTATTATCTATTTCCTTCCAGGAAGGAATGACATTGGTCCAGTTTCATTGTTCATTGGATCTCCATGTCCAGTTCACAAAAAAAGTTCATGACCCAGAGGCTTTCATTAGCTCTGCAGGCAAGTGGAGCAAGGGGAAGAGATGGGGTAGAATCAACTTAGAACATTAATGAATCCTCAACAAAACAGAGCAAAATCGCAACATATTTGGATTCAACATCCTCTTTACATAGATTTTACCCGCACGAAATTCTTTACTGGTTCCAAAACCTAAATAGATAACATCAAGAATTAACAGGGCAGCACCACTGCCTCACAGAGGGTTCGATTCCAGACTTAGTGACTTTGTCTGTGTAGATTTTGCATGTTCTCCCCATGTCTCTGTGGGTTTCCTCCAGGTGCTCGGGTTTTCTCCCACAGTCCAAAGATATGCAGGCAAGGGAAACGTGAGGTATGGAGATAGGATAGGATGGGGGTCTGGATCTGGGTAGGATGTTCTGAGGTGCAGACTTAAATGGGCCAAATGGCCACTTTCCGCACTGTGGGGATTCTACAATAACGTTGAAACTCAAAAAAGGTCGTCAGACATAACGTAAGCTATCTAGATTTGGGAGGGTGCAATACATTGACAGTTGATTAAATTACTATAATAAATTCAGTAACTTCTGCTTCTGAATATTAAAGGCTAAATATCAAAATCTTGTTTGGTTGAGTCCTAGTAGAATGAAACTGATTAAAATTGAGCTGCTGCTTATTTGTTGCACACTTATTTAACAAAAAAAAATCAAATCTACATAATAAGCTTGCCTCGCAATCAGTTTCCTATGAGTGAATTATTTTTAACAAGCAGGTAACAATTTCAAAGTTAATTCCATTATTATGGTAGTTGACTCCCACCCCAAAAAGGAATGGATGAAGTCCTTCTTGTCCCCCTAATCCATTTGTAAATATTTTACTTAAGTTTAACTTGTTCATTGTCAGAACAACACCGTTAATTGACACCAGTAGCTAGGTAAGGTGGGCAATAAAAGTAAGCTGTAGACTTGCTCGCTGAGCTGGTGTGTTTGATTGCAGACGTTCTGTCACCCTGCTAGGCAACATCGTCAGTGCGCCTCCGGTGAAGCATTGACATTCTGTCCCGCTTGTTATTTATATGCTACAGTTTGCTGGGGTGGTTGGCATTATTTCCGGCTGTTTTTCAGTGGTTTGTATATTGGGTCCAGTTCGTGTCCTTCTTCATCTGTGTGTATTGAGACCAGTGAGAATTGGTCGGGTCTCTTGGTGTCTCGTCTCTCGGACAAAGGAGGATACGAATTCGACTGGGACAACATATCCATAATAGCACAAGCCAAACAGAGACATGCCAGGGAATTCATGCAGGCCTGGCATTCCAACCGGAACGCCATCAACAAATACACCGAACTGGACCCGAAATACCAACCACTGAGAAACAGAACCGGAAGTGATACCAACCACCCCAGCAAATCGAAGCATATAAATAACAAGCGGGACAGAACATCAGTGCTTCACTGGAGGCACACTGGCGATGTTTCCTCACCCTGCTAGGTAAGATCTGCAATCAAACACACTGGCTTGGCGAGCAAGTCTACAATCTCATCCACAACCCAGCTACAAATCTTCTCAAAAACTTTAAACAAAAGCAAGCATTCACCGAGGACAAGAATTTATGCAGTTAGGACTTGAATTCGGAGGATGTCAACAAACCAAGTGGGGAGGTATAGGAACCCAAAGGTTTGGAAGGAGCGGTAAAAACAAGTAGAGTATAGAGTTGAAAAGTTATAGAGGAGGTATAGTAACAAGGACAGGGAAGGCAAGCCTTTTGCTTGGACACAATTCCAGGAGACCTTCACATTAAGCATTGCTAAAAGTTTGTACTGCAGTGAATGGAAGTCAGAAGCAGTGGTTTGTAAGAGTTTGAATTATTTCAAGCTTCTCAGAATAATAATGAATGATTAGGTGGATTTGGTCATTACAATTGTGCTATCTATTTCATGTACAATGACAGATTCATTCCAGTGCAGGAGGTCATTCAGCCATCATGTTTTGAATATCTCCAAGACTAGGTGAATAACAGGCTGATTACTACTGAAAAGGCTGTTAGAACACCTGGGTTCATTTTGAGCTCACTTAAGCAAAGGCATTAGCAAAACCAGAGGACAGTCAAGATTCATCTTGTTTAGAACAAGAAAGATACTGAAGTATTAAAGCATAGCATGTTCTTTACTTGCACCATATCACACAATGAAGTTACACTGATGGAACAAAGTGAACCCAAATCTCACTACTGATCTGTATACTCGGTGCTCGCTTAAAAAGCTTAAGGATTTAAAACAAGCCCTCCCTCACTTGGTCCACCCTTGAAGAAATAGAAAAACCCAAATGTACCTATCAAAAGAAATAGGAAGCATGTAAAATCACATTAAGCCTCTTGTAAGTATAGAATATTAACAATATCCAATACAATGTCACCTTAAAACAAATTATGAAGTGGCACTGATCTTTAAGAGATGACAGCTGACATGGATGTACTCACGGAAATGATTAGTTAATTTCAAGCTAAAACTAGAAATAGGATCTATTTGCAAGTATTTTGTTTCTATAGAAGGATAAGAGAATGAGTCTAATATTTCAAACTTACTAAAAAAATATTGTATTCCATTTACAAGAATTTTAAATTAATTATCTAGAAGGGGTGCTTATTACATTACCCAATAAACAAAACAAAAGCATTTTTACACATTTTCCTGTTTAGACTTCAACAATACGAAAAGCTTACCAGGAATTGCCAGATTGCGAAGAGCACTAAGTGCAGCATGTTGTACTGTCACATTCCCCTCTTCTACATGCCTATCCAGTAAGTCTAAAAGCTTCTGCACAATTCCAATTTCAACCATGTGGATACAGTTTCCATCTGGGAGTGGATGGAATAAAAATATCATCTGCATTAAAGATGTACTGAACCAGCTTCAGGGCCAGATAGTTTACAGGGCTAAAAAAAATTGTGTTAAGAAATAGGATACACAATAACAGTTGTATTTTTTGCAATGATCATGAAGCACAAACCATATTTTCCACTAACTGATGCATGTGACACCATTAATGTATGGTTCCAGGCCAGTGACAGAACCTACTTCCAAACCTGAAAAATGACATTCAGACCATTCTAGAGGGAATAAAGGAAACAACTTATTAAAAAGGCAATTAGTTGACTATATCAGTGTTGCTTATTTTGGTTTTCAATGTTTTTTGTTGTTTGAGAGACCCACATCAGAAAGACTTTTGGGGTCTGCTAATTAGTATTAGTGTTTTTTTCAGGCCATCATTAAAAAATAGATTCATGAATGGCATTTTCTTAGTGATGAGCAAAAATCAAAAGGCTTAGAAAATTGTTTTTCTTTGTACTTTCTTCCCGCAGAAAATAATAATCAGTGATCTCAGTTGAAGTGATGTTCTGTTTCTGGTAATAAACACAGTTGGATATTTTAATTTTGCTACAGCCAGCTGAAAAATGAATGCTGTTGGACAAGGGGAAATGAGAAAGCCAGTGTCAAATTCTATAGTGATTTAGAACTTTCTTGGATAATTATGAATTCACAATGTTGCAGTGATATGCTGTTCAGGGAATTTTGTCCCTTAATCCAGAGAAGCACTGAGGTAGGTTAACTTTTTTTCTTAATCTCCATTTGTATAGTACAATTAATATAGAAAACATCCCAGGTGCTCCACAGAGGAGGAAGAAATACATTAATAAACAGATTCACTCTATAGTTATATGGCATGTTGTAAGGCAATCAATGTGATTGTAAGCTATGTTGTAAAGAAAGGCAGAGGAGGGGTTGTAGAACGTTGTGGCTGCACTATTAACTCTGAAAACAATGCATTGTAAAGACCACAATTAGAAGGTCAAACAAAATTAGAGCAAGTTGCAGAAAGATGAAAGGGAGAACTGAAACCATGGACAACAATTTTGGATTCAATACATTGAGAGAAACAAAACTAACGTGGGGACTATTAAGGACAGGAGAGCTAGGTTAGTGAAAACAAACAGAAATTGCTGGAAAAGCTCAGGTCTGACAGTATCAGAAATCACAGTTAACGTTTCTGGACAAGTGACCCTTCCGATTTCTCTCCACAGATGCTGCCAGACCTGCTCAGTTTTGAGCAATTTCTGTTTTTGTTTCTGATTTACAGAATCTGCAGTTCTTTCGGTTTTTAATCTAGGTTAGTGGAATTTACTGTAGGTCAGGTATTGAAATTGCAGCATTTTCTCAACCATATTTTGCTAATCAGTTAAGAGCATCAATGATTCATCTTTATAAAAGAAAATTCAGCTATGCTGGAAATAACAAAAAATTGCTGGAAAAGCTCAGCAGGTCTGGCAGCATTTGTGGAGACGGAAGAGTTAATATTGAGTTCAATATGACTCTTCCTTAGAACACCTTTGTTATTTGTAGAATATTATCCATTAGTGGAAATGAGTTTTGATTATCAGGGACTTAATTGACTTTAACCCTAAGAAACAGATTTTTCAACCTAAAGCAAGCTCTTCATACCACCAGGGTTTAACAAATATCTGTCAAATCTGCATTTAATTTCAACAGTAGCTACTGTGCTGAGAACATGAAAGGCTAATCTCATTAGTGGCAACTCTCCATGTACTGCTTTATTCAGCATTATCGAGTAGTGGTCTGATGATAGCAAGGCCGTGGTTATTCTCACCACCATTCATTCTGAATTGACTCGGTCTATGCTGTTATGCGGCACGACAAGTAGACAACAATACAAACCTGTCACTGACAGTGATGAGTAGTTTCAAATAATCTCTCTTCCACTAGCTTCAGAGATTTTTGTCTTTTGTTTGTGATAGTACAGATAGCAGCAATTATTAGATCAAGGATTTGAAGGGAAAATGAAGATAATTTGAAGCCCTTAATGAATAGAACTGAGTGGACAAATATCAGTTCATCAAACAATCTATTGTTCTAAGTGTTTAAGACAAGCTTCCAGCTATCTGCTCACCAGTCAATTCACAGTATGGCTGTCTCTTCAGTGAAGCAGCTGCTATTCTAGTTTTATAATGAGAAGCAACCATTACACAGAAGAGGACTGATCCAGTCAAAATGCAATTAATAATTTTTTTTATGGATTAGTATCTGTAATTCAGGATTTTCTTTCCCATTAGGTATATTCAAAGACTTTATGCATCAAACGCTACCCATCTTAGCTAATTTTAATAAACAATCTTCGACTTTAAAGTTTATTTTGTAATTTCAATTTTGGTTTGAAATTGTACTGAATTTACAGCACAGAAATAAGCTATTATGGCCAGGCTTGTTTTGGGCTCCAACCAAGTTCTGCTCACGTTACTTCCTCTGACCGTTTAAACATCATATTCTAGTTGTTTTTTCCCCTCCCTCAATTACAATGTTAATTTCTTATTAGATTTATTGATGACAATCTTACACTTATGACCTCAGTTTTGGACTCAAACAGAAATATCTCTACATTATGGAAAGCACAAAGGATAATTACTAGATCTATTAGATCTTCCTCTCCTTTTCATGGAGGAAAGAAAATCTGTTCAGATCTTCTCTGGTAACTATAATCTTTCAGTTCACTGCTACAATGAGCAAATAAGTACTTTTTTCTAAATAAGGTTGACTGCAAGGTTGTTAAAAAGTCACAATCTATCAAAATGAAAATGGCTGAAGATAACAGCTGCTAACAGCCACAACTGGGGAAAATATGAATAGTTTGCCTCTAGTTAGGTATATTTATATAACAGCACAGATTTAAAAGGGGGACGATGCATTTAGATAACTGGACTAATGCAGTCAATTCAGCTGTTAAGATAGGATGGAGCATGATGGACTACGGGGCCAGTTTTAAACAAAATCCACAGGTCATTAAAGCACTGACTAACTGGGTACTCAGCACAATATCAATAGATAGCTGTTCCGCATGACAACAGTAGAGGTTTTATAAGGACACATCTCTGAAAATGCATCAACAATAGTGTTAGTGTGACTCAGCATTAGTATTTTCACCTCAGAGCCAGGAGATTCACGTTATACCTCCAATTTTGGTGTATCCAAATCCTGGAGTGCAGTAGACTGCGAAGGAGGTTACCTTAGAGTACAACAGGATCTTCATCAAATGGGCCGAGGAGTGGCAGATGGAGTTTAATTTAGGCAAATGAAGTGCTGCATTTTGGAAAGGCAAATCAGGGGAGGACTTATACAACTTAATGGTAAGGTCCTGGGGAGTGTTATCGAACAATAAGACCTCGGAGAGCAGGTTCATTGTTCCTTGAAAGTGGAGTCATAGGTAGATAGGATAGTGAAGGTGGCATTTGATATGCTTGTCTTTATTGGACACTGCCATGAGCATAGGAGTTGGGAGGTCATATTGTGGCTCTACAAGACATGGGTTAGGCCACTATTGGAATACTGCATGCAATTCTGGGCTCCCTGCTTTGGGAGGATGTTGTGAAACTTGAAACAGAAAAGATTCACAAGGATGTTGCCAGGGTTAGAGGGCTTGAGCTACAGGGAGAGGCTGAATAGACTGGGGCTACTTTCCCTGGAGCTTCAGAGGCTGAGGGGTGACCTTACAGAGGTTTATAAAATCACGAGGGGCATAGATAGGGTAAATAGACAACGTCTTTTACCTGGGGTAGGGGAGTCCAAAACTAGAGGGCAAAGGTTTAATTGAGAAGGGAAAAATTTAAAAGGGACCTAAGGGGCAACTTTTTCACAGAGGGTGGTGTGTGTATGGAATGAGCTGCCAAAGGAAGTGGAAGAGGCTGGTACAAATACAACATTTAAAAGGCATCTGGATGGGTATATGAATAGGAAGGGTCTATAGGGATATGGGTCAAATGCTGGAAAATGGAACTAGATTTACTTAGGATATCTGGTCATCATGGATGAGTTGAACTGAAGGGCCTATTTCTGTGCTCTATACCTCCGATTCCACAAGTTGAGCACATAATCTATACTGAATGCTAAAGATTGCATGGTGCTATTCAAAAACAAAATCGCCCTGCCAACATTTATCCTTCAATTAACATTATTGAATAAAAACTAATCCATTGGTTATTTATCTTGATGCTGTTTGTGGAAAAATTGAGCACAAATTAGTCACACATTTGCCTACACATCAAAAATAACTCATTAGCTGTAAGAGGCTTTGGGACCCAGAGAACATGAAAGACATCACAGAACAGCAAGATTTTTTCCTTCAGTACAGAGGAAGGAAAAGAAAGATGAACACTGACGTTTATTAATAAAGTTGAGTATAGTAAGTTGGAAAAAAAAAAATCACTGAAACTAACTTTTTTTTTTAAAAAACAGGAAGCTCACCATTTCGTGCGAAGTTTGCAACGGCCAGTGCTCCAGCAAGTTGTAGTTGATGGTTATTTGAAGGAAGCCATGACAGCACCTTTTGAAAGACACTGCCTTTCCCTGCATCAAACAGCTTCTGCATAGATTCATCTGCATGACAGGAAAAACCTCTAGATAAGAGCAAGTAACTTTCAACAGCTGTTATAATTCTGGACTAATGTTAATCTTTTGCGGTTCCAAATTTTTATTGATGGGGAAAGGAAAGTGGTAAAGTGGGGAGTGGAAGCTACTTATTTTTGAACATCATGGCAAACTGTATCTTAACTCCATTTACACATTTTCACTCCACATCCCTTAATATCCTTACCCACCAAAAATTTCTTGATCTCAGCCTTGCAATTTTCAGTTGACGTAGTCTCAAAAGCGTTTTGAGGGAGATTTCTAAGAACCTTTGACGTACAAAGGAGTTTCCCAATGACTCCCACCAACCAAAGATTTACGAGAATGATTGGAATTATCATTCAACTTTTATTGCTTTAAAAAAAAAAGTATCTCTGCATTTCTGAATTTCAAACAGTGGCTTTCAGAGAGACAAAATAAAAAAGGTACAGGTAAAGTTGCCATAGTCTTACCAGACCACAGGACTGCTCTCTCATTAGAGAGCAGAGACTGGTGGTGCTTTAAATGGAGGATCATCATGTCTCAGGCGAGGGGAGAAGTTGAGGAGGAGAAGAATTTCTCACAGTAACCTCAGCTAATGCAGGAATTGAACCCATACTGTTGGGGCATTGCAAACCAGCAGTCCAGCCAACCAACTCCCTATAGGTAAAGCATTGTGTGGGAAACATGGGCAGCAAGTTATAGTTGCCCACCGTGCATTGAAGAACCACAGGCCAGGTTTTGTGCAAGTTGTGGGGAGAAGTTATGGACCCAGAAGGCAGAGGATTTAAACATAGAACAGTACAGCACAGGGACAGGCCCTTTGGTCCACCACGTTTGTGCTATCATGGTGTTATTCTAAACTAATCCCACCTGCCAGCACATGGTCCATATCCCTATATTCTCTGCCCGCTCATATGTTGTCTAAATGCTTTTTAAACATTGGTGTTGTATCTACTTCTACCACCTCCCTGGCAGCACGTTCCAGGCATGTACCACTCTCTGTGTAAAATGACTTTCCTCGCACATTTTTTAAACATCCCTCTTCTCTACCAATCCTGCACCGCCCCCACCCCCCCCCCAAAAGAAAACAGCTCACCTTAAACCTTTGCCCCTTAGAATTTAACATTTCCACCCTGGGGAAAAAAAGACTGATTATCCACCCTATCTGTGCCCCTTAATTTTGTACACTTTGATTAGGTCAATCCTCAGGCTCTGATGCTCTATCAAAAACAATCCAAGTTTATCCAACCTCTCCTTACAGCTAATACACTAACCCAGGCAACATCCTGGTAAACCTCTACTGCACCCTCTTTAAAGCATCCACAACCTTTCCGCACTGTAGCGACCAGAACTGTGCACAGTACTCCAGTGGAGCCTGACTAAAGTCTGATACAGTTGCAACACGACTTGTCAATGTTCTACTGCCTTGTTTCCTTAATTCAAAGTCTTATCTGATAGATTTGGCTGCTTTGTGGACAGAGAAGGCTGAAACCTAGATGCAACCTTTTAAGGAAGCTATAATTATTCCCCACCATTCTATCCTTCCATTAAGCACATCAATAATTCATTTGTTGATTTTAAAAAGTTACATTTTGATTCTTACATCCAACTCCCACAATCTAGTTCTAGAGAGGATGATCAAACTATAAACTTAACAACTGGGTAGTAATTGCCCAGCCAATATTCCATTGATTGAGCCTAATAGCTTGGTATGTGTATTCATTAGAATGTTGACTTGAATTTCAGCTACAGCATAAAGTTTTAAGTTGAACTACACAAATGATCATTCAGGTCATTACTTGCCCATTTTGTTTTTTTACAGTCATACTCAAACAAATGGTGCATCTTATCAAGGTATAAATGCCTGATCAGTATTTTGACGCACCGTGCAGCAATTAAATAAATTCTACATTCCATCAAATTATAGACTAAATAAATATCTTCTTTTCCCCCTTTATTCTTTCATGGAAAAGTGGACGCTACTGGCAAAGTCAGCATTTATTGCCCAATGCCAACTGTGCGAGTCAAAGGGCAGTTGAGAATCAACCACGTTGAGAGAGTCTGGAGTGACATATAGGCAGGATCAGTTGAGGATGGCAGATTTCCTTTTCCTAAAAAGGACGTTAGTGAACCAGATGGCTTTTTATGACAACTCACAATGGTTTCATGGTTATCATTAGACTAGTTTTTAATTCCACATTTCCTTAACTAATTAAATTTTGCCATCTACCAGGAAGAATTCAAATGCAAGAGCATTAGCTAGGGGCTCTGCATTACAAATCTAGTGAATATACCACTGCCTCTGGAATAGTGTCACTGTGCGACATTTTTTTTCATGGGGAAATGAAAGTGATAAAGGAGAGTGGAGGCATTTCTTTTTGAATATAGGATTCATTTTTACAAGCAAACAATCTACCTTAAAGATCAGAATTTTTATTATTTAATCATACCTCAGTCTTTCTAATGCAATAATTGATGCAAAACACACCATACAGACAGTCCCAGGGTTAGGTGGGTTAATTTCCAGATAAGTATCTTCGAGACAAACAATACAAATAATTTACAGTATGTTTTTCAGTTTACAAGTGAAATTATCTTCTGCTCTGCCCCTCACAACCCACCTCCCAGCAACAGAAATACCAAAATCCAGATTACTTAACAGAAGTAGCTTAGGAGACATTAATAAGTTGCATTTAAAAAAACTGAAAAACAACTCACCACCCAAAAGCAGCAGCACCATGAGATCAGAAGCTGTTTTAAGCTCAGAGATATCATCTTCTTTATTACTGTCCACAGTCTCTTGGACAAGCTCCAAGAGACAGTCTACTAATCCTGCATCAACCAATTGTAGTTTGATGACATCTGAACCCAAAACAGAGAGAAGCATGTTAGTTTATAGCCCAGGACAGCAGTGATTTCAAATCTCATCTGATAGTTTCTAACCCCTTTTCGTGTTTGGGCCAGAAAGCGATCTTAGCTAAAAGGTTCATATCGTGGCCTGTTTCTAAACAGGATGGAATACCGTTTACTTTTAACTTAAAAATAAAGCTTTATTTCAATGCGGTAATGATTGACCTTTAAAGTTCATTCACAGCATCAAAGCATGTCCTAGTAGCAATGGAAACAATGATACCCCACTGGCAAAGTCAGCATTTATTGCCCATCCCCAACTGTTCGATTCAAAGGGCAGTTGAGAGTCAACCACGCTGTCTGGGTCTGGAGTGACGTACAAGCAGGATCAGAAATAGCCACCATTAACCTGTGTCTTTAGGATTCCGTTTATCCACTTACTGGGGCAATACCACCCACTGCCAGCACAGCCTTAACAAGGCATATGAGGCCTTATTGCAAATTCCCAGAAGAATCCCTAAGAGTTTCAGCACCTGCAAAACAGGAAAACGAATAGCTGAATTTCTTTAACTCAGAGTTTTAAGAAAGGGAAAGGAGGGCATTAGAACATTAAAGCTGAAATAAGTAAGGTATGAGAACTTTATTTCAATCAAAATAGCTATTACTGAAGTTGGTGGATCACTAAAAATTGCTTCCATTTCACTATATACATTTTTGGGTGCATGTTTTGGGTCCAAGAACGGACAAGGGCTGCAAATAGATTAATGTAGTTGGTAGAGTACAGGAACCCTTCAGTGTCTATGTACCAAAATGTTAGTGAAAAGGAATTCTTTCATGATCTTCATTTTGCTTTCAACAACAGCAATTTTACTGAGATGAAGTTCCAGCTGTACCTTCTTGTATGTTACTTCAACTCTAATCCTTCACCTGCCTTCACTTTCATTTAAAACACTTGTCAAACAAATCTCTTCAGCTATTTATTTTCTACTTTCTTCTCGATGATTCGACATGGGGCATTTTTACTTAAAATTGATAAAACATAGCTGTAGCAAGTTGTGCAATATTTCATTGATAACAGTGTAAGAAAAAGACATGCAGGTGGTGCTTTTCTTTTAATAAAAATGCTCAAGTATTTCTTAGCAATAAAATACCTTCCAATGTTAGGTAATGTGCCACAGTTCATTTTCCTTTTTCCAAAAGAAAATCAGATTTACTGCAATTGCAGTGTTGCCAATGAGAACTATTTCACAGATCACAACAGAACGATATAAAGTAGGTCATTTTAACCCACCCAATATAATCTATTCAGAGTAATACTTTAGTTCCCCTCTTTCCTTCCTCCATCTGATCTTATACTTGGAACCATAAATTCTGGTATCAGTGCTAAATCTCATTTGCCAAGTTTTAAAAATCCATTTTTAATTTCATTCAATGCTTTGCAATTCTATTAACTAAGATTACATCTCCCATATAAGCCAAAAAGCCGAAACTACTTCAGTTGCTTCCTTCTAAAGTGGAACTTTGCCAATAATCAGCTTTGTTGTGACTCAGTGCTACCTCTAGCCCTTAAATGTCTTTGTCTATTGACAAATCAGATTATGGCGTACTTTAAAGGACAGCCTAATTTATATCACTGACAGATTTTGGGTTGGCACTCAGTTTAGGGAGGGCTTCTTGTTCACTTCTCCCTCCAGCTATTACTAGGGAAGGCATTATGACATTATTCGGGAAATGTGTTTTGTTCTCATCACCTGTTTCAAGTTTACCTACATCCTTTACAGTTATAACCTTATCGTCTCAAGGTTGTAAGTTTGAGGCCTAATCTAGGACTTGACACTGCATTATTTGAACGGTTGCTTTTCAGATTAGACAAGACAACTTTTTTGCTTGATGTGGTCATTCAGCAAGGGCTATCTTGGCCAATCTTGCAATCTTCACCACCGAAAACATTAACTTTATTATTTAACTCCTCGCTCTTACAGGGCATTCCTCTGTCTGAAATGGTTACAAAATATCGTCACCCAACAATAATTGTATGTGGACTGGTTATTCACTACAAGAAAAGGATGACATATGGGCTGAGAGATATCATGTATAAGCAGTGATGCCTCTCTTCTGGGACTATAAAATGAAGCTGAGAGGGGTTAGGTCTGTATGTATAAAAATTTTCTAAGTCATTTTTTATCTTTTTTAAAAAAAGGGAGAAGTCATCTAGACTCTAATTTTCATTAGCAAAGACAGCAAGTCCTATGTTCTTGAAACTTAGATTAGCTTGTTTCTACAAGAAACAGACTTTGCATCCATTTCTTCATAACCAAAAAAAACCAAAAAAACTATCAGCCTACACCTCTGATAGCAATCCAAAAATCAACAAATTACGATGGGCAGCTACAACGGACACATTTTTCGATATTGGCCCTGAAGAACTGCTTTTGTTCATTCAGAGGCCTGGATACAATTGTACATTAAATTCTCCTAAGTAGCCAGCACATCTGTCAACTGTACTGCAGATTTAACAGTCTTTCATAAAACTGTCAATCATTCAAGCAAAATTTAAGTAATCTTTTCTTGTTTCAGATTTGCATAAGCAAGTTAATTACCCTCAAGGTTTCCCATATTTATAACATACCTTAAACATTTAAGCTTTCAGTAAATTACATAACTTTAGGCATAACTGCAGCCATTTCACACGGCAAATCTCAAACAGCGATCACATAAATCATTAATAGGTGTATTTTTGCAGGCACAGTCAACTGCATTTGTCATTTACTATGCAATTTGCTGTAAATTGCAATGACGGAACAGAGCAAGTGAAACCTTCAGCATACATCTTCATTGGAAAGGGTGAAGAAAAGACTCAAGAGTCATACAGCATGGAAACAGATCCTTCAGTCTAACCAGTCCACGTCGACCAAACTAAACTAGTCCCACCTGCCTATGCTTGGCCCATATCCCTCCAAACATTTCTTATTCATGTACTTATCCAAATGAGTTTTAAACTGTTGTAACTGTACCCACATGCACCACTTCCGGTGGAAGTTCATTCCATACACGAACTCTGTAAAATCGTTATCCCTCATGTCTTTTTAAAAAATCTTTCTCCTCTCATCTTAAAAATATGCCCCCAGTCTTGAAATCCCCCACCCTGGGGAAAAGACATCTGCCATTCACCTTATCTATAACTGATTTTATAAACCTCTATAAACTTCACTGCACAACCTATGCTACAGTGGGGAAAAAAAAAAGTCCCAGCCTATCCAGCCTCTACTTATAACTCAAACCCTCCCCCCATTCCCAACAACATCTGGGTAAACGTCTTCTGAACCCTCTCCAGTTTAATAATATCCTTTCTACAACAGGGCAACCAGAACTGCACACGTTACTATAGAAGAAGCCTCACCAACATCCTATACAACCTCAACATGATATCCCAACTCGTATACTCAAAGGTCTGAGCAACGAAGGCAAGCGTGCTAAATGCCTTCTTAATCACCCTGTGTACATGTGACGCAAACTTCAACAAATTATGTACCTGAACCTCTAGGTTTCTGCTCTGCAACACTATCCAAGGCCCTATTTTAATTGCACAAGTCCTGCCCTTGTTTGTTTTACCAAAATGCAATACCTCACAATAATCCAAATTAAATTCCATCTGCCAGTCCTCAGCCCATTGACTCAATTGATCAAGATCTCCTGGTCATCTTAGATAACCTTCTTCACTGTCGACCAAACCACAAATTTTGGTGTCACCCGCAAACTTACTAACCAGGCCTTTTATATTCCCATCTAAATCATTTTTATATAACAACTGAAAGCAGACTCATTATCAATCACTATGGAACATTGCTGGTCACAGGCCTCCAGTCTGAAAAACAACCCTCCTCCATCACTGTCTCCTGCCATTAGGTCTATTTTGTATCCAATTGGCAAGCTCACCCTGAATCCCATGTAATCTAAGTTTACTAGTTAGTCTAGCATGTGAACCTTGTCAAAAGCTTTACTAAAGTAAACAACATTACCGCTCTGCCCTCAATCTTTTTGGTTATTTCCATTTTATTTACAAGGTTGTTAAACTGATGCCACCAGAACTTGAGGGTTTGAGCTATAAAGAGAAGCTGCAAGTAGGACTAGTTTACTTCAGGAAACCTGGTCAGCATGGATGAGTTGGACCAAAGGGTCTGTTTCTGAGCTGTATGACTCTATTTGGGTTGCAAATGTAGCTTGCCATAAACTGCCCTTCACACTTCCATCTCTTCATGTTTGATCTTCCTGGTTGTTCCAACAAAGATTAAAAGCAAGCTTTGGGAATGGCCACATTTTGCTCCATGCTCTAATACTCCCTGGTCTAACAAGGACCTCAATAAATTTAGACTGCAACTGTACTGTATATCGTTACCTCTCTGTAGCAAGGTCTCAAGATGCAAAAATTGTACAGGTTATTTGGCTCATTGTACCTTTCTGGCTCTTTGAAATAGCTATCCCTTTCATCCCACTGACCTGCTCTTTTTTCAATAGTCCAGCAAATCCGAACATCTCACACTTTGTCATTCAACAGCATCAATGAATCCCACTACTGACATCCCATTTGATTGACACCATGTCCACTAATCAAAACATTAATTCCTACCAGCACCAACGCAATGGTAGCAGTATTCATTAAAAGATCACTACAGAAACTCACCAAGTCTTACTCATCAGCACCTACCACTTAGAAAGACCAGGGTTGCAGATACACAGGAACACCACTACCTCAAAGTTCTCCAAACTGTACACCATACAGACCAAGAACCACAGCACCATTCCTTCAATATTGGTGGCTCTAAATCCTGAAACTCCCATGCTGACAGAATTGTGCGCACTTGCAGCGATGCAAGGAGACAACTCACCACCACCTGCTCATTAGCAGTTTGGATTGGGAGGCAAATGCCAGCTTTGTTGCCGATATGCACATCTCATGGAAGAATTAAAAATCTTATGTCATCTTCATGCACAACTTCATGGATTACACATTTACACTAGTTCTTGGTCAAACAATAGCTTGACATTAAACCTTTTATTATTCCAAATCATGCCAATGCAGATACCATCACCTTGAGTTTACAATCCAGCTTAAAACAAGTGGATCAGAGTGAATCGCGCTGTACAGGTGAGAAGGAGCAAGTGACAGCTGTGAGCAGTCCCCCTCAGAGGAGTGCAGACATAGGCACGTTCAGGTGGGCAATGAAGCACAGCCTCCAGAGTTGTACACAAGACATGTATTCATGGGATGAGCAGCATGAAATGTGTGCACACATGTCAGTGCTTTGAGGTGGTGCAAATTCATGGGCACACAAAATGGAGGAGTACATTAAGTAAATGTGCTCTGCCACTTAGGGTTTTGGGCACAAAAATCCCTCTATTGAGATCTTAAAACCTCTTGGACAATCAAATGGGGCATCACTTAACAGTGGAAGCATGAGCACTGCATTGACAGGCACAAAATAGATGACACATTCTGAAGCATTGACTGATCAGCAGCACTAACTGTGCTGATATAATGCCAGTGGTTGTTTCCCCCCCAGTCATTTGTGCTATCCTGAGGCTGTTTCAAATGATGGAATCATGTAATAGGAGGCAATCATTAACCACCATAGCAATGAATGAGGAACATTACATGCAGGTACACCTTATGACAAAGGCTGCCTGAACCAATGCAACAATCTTTCGGGGAAGCCCAAAAGGGCTATTCTATTAGGAAGAGGACTGCAAGATACATCTTAGTCTCATGCCAAACGAGCAAAAATGTTGTCTCCAACTCATCCTCAGCCAGGAAGCAGCTCTAACGATGGTTGAAAGCACAGGCCACCACTTTTGGTAGCTGCACTTGTGGTTCACTTGGGTGACAGTCTGTATTGTGGATAAAGGAGACAGGACGTGAGATTAGCTGCAACCAGATGTGCACCTTTTAAAAAAAAATGATATCAAGGCAGAACAGACAAGAAAATGGGGATCAAGGTCAAACTCTGAGGTCAAGTGTGGTTGTGGAGATTAGTGTTGTCTACCTTGCAACATTGGAAGTATCCAGGGTTGTACTGCTCCTGGAATAACTTGATCATAAGATTTGCATTAGGGAATGCCTTAGACAGCAAGAAGCCAATATGTTAGCATTAACAGCACTGCATTAATACCTCTCCAGCTACAAAAAGGTGGCTGTCAAATGCATAAAACTGGATGGTAAATGCGCGATGCATAAATGATTTCACGAATTTAACACTCACCATGTTCTGCCAGTGGAGCCAAAACTTCAAAAATCATTTCTTTCTTCTCATGTTCTGTTTGTTTTTTGAACAGTTTTACAAGTTCATCTGCGATCTTAGTTGATGCGAACTGCTCTTTGCTAGACTCTTAAAATTTACAAACATATTAAAGAGGCAATTAAAAAAATGGACAAAGAAAAAGGGGTAGAACATCCTTTAAGATAGTGTTTCAATTGTATTAGTTTTGTAGTGATCTTTTGACCTGCAGTTATCACGAAAAGTAAACATGTCCAAACACTTATAAATTACATGCTATTGTTTGAATGCTAAACTTTTGAGGGCACCACTAATTCATGTTTCTAAGCAACTGTGCAAGAGCTACATTAGTGGATCACTTCAACTAATTGGCACAACTTAAGAAAAAATTTAAAAAATTTAAGATTCCTTCAGAATTTCTTCTAAAATGATAAAAGGAAAACTAAGCAAGCCACAGGAAGGGCATTTTGGAAAACTGAACAAGATTAAACGCAAATACTTTGCAACAAAGTATAGGTTTATGGCAGTCACAATCCTTCTGTATCTCGAGATTTATCCTAGCTTACCGATCTCTGCTAGGTTACCAAATGCAACCAAGCACATTTCTGTCAGGGCTGTATGCTCTGAATGTATTCCCAATAACTGAACCAAAGTAGGAATGACTCCCATATTTATCAGCTGGGCCTGCAAGGCATCTGTAAAATAAAACAAAAATCGGTATAAAGTTAATATTTAATTCTCAGGCTAAAATACACAGAGCTATCTCTTGACATTATAAACAGAAAGGAAACAAGACTGTACAACATATACTGTCTGAAAGTAATGTATTGAAAGGAGAGAAATTATGTTGCTTGGAATGATTAAAGAGGTGATGAATCAGAGCAATTATACCATACTGAATTTATCAGACCTAACATATTGGACAGATTGTAAATGTATATACACAAGAAAACAAATTACACAAGCTCGGAAGTGTTAGACTAGTATCTAATAAATGAAAAGTTGATGTATTCAAACTGAAGGTAAACCTACAAATAACAGATACAACAACCCATTTCACTATATTCCTTTCTGGAAGAGCTATTGAAACTGACCCTCAACTGTTGAGGACATTTTCAAAGGATCACAATTTCTTCTTAAAAATCACAAACGTGAACAGCAACAAAGTACTGTATATTAAAAGGGAATTTTCTTTTCATAAACAGATAGCTTGTAACAAAAAAAAAAAAAAAAAAAAGAGGCTTCGGTCCCGACCTGAAACATCAACTTTCCTACTCCTCTGATGCTGCCTGGCCTGCTGTGTTCCTCCAACTCCACATTGTGTTATCAGCTTATAACAAAAAGTATTTTCAAAATCTAAACCTCCTGCCACACTTTCACTGGATCAAAGAGCTGTCTATTTTTGAATTGTTTTCTCAGAATTCAAAGATACATCGATCTAACTTACTGTTACTCCAGAGTACAATCCATACTCAGCTCCTCCCTTCCACTTCAGAAATTTGAAATTTCTCAAATCTGCAAAGTATAATCAAATTCAATAGCCCAGTGTACAGAGGTACCACTCAGTATTGTGCAAAGCTATACAGACTAGGTTTCACGTTCTCTCTCAATTGTAGAGTTAGCTGCAGTATGAAAATCAAGAAACTAAAACTATTCAGCGCTTCTGTAACTGGGGCTACAGGGGAAGTAGACAGTCTAATTCTTAAGAGTCGCCAGCTAGCAACATCCTTTTAGAAAGGTGGTGATGCAAGCAGGCAAGCTTAAACAGGCAGGTTTAAGCTTTGATGTCCCAAATAGCTACAAGTCATGGTCAAGTCTCTGTTTCTTTTTTGAAAAAATATCACTTGGATAAGGTCTGTCATTGTTTGCAAATGCTGAATTGTGTCCTAACAAGAATTATTAATGAAAGAAGACAAACACAGGGCGCAATTTTCCAATCTTGTTCCAAGCCCTATCACAGGATGTTACACGTACACAGCACTTTATCGTGCTATTGGCCTTAGAAACAAAACAATAATATAATTGCATTTTAAATGGAAGATGTAACACATCACAGCATTACCGTAGCTACTTGACTGGATATAGCATTTTATGATTTGTCAGCCAGGCTGTGTAATGTGGTATGCTTGTTATTTTGCCAATTAACTGCCACATCCAAACCACTTAGGCAAGACTAATTTAATACAGGTTATGAAAACAGCTTCAAGTCATTGTGAAATAAATCTCACTTTGTATTAGAGAGAGAACAGGCATGTACAATAGTACAAATAAACTGTTAGAAGTCTCATTTTCCTTCAAGAATTTAAATTTCCACCTATTCAGACTGTAGGAGATCAGTAATCATTTGATCACTCATCACAACTCTTTTACAAACAGATTTTATGCTGTGACATCCACCGTGATACCTGTTGTCACACTCAGCATTGTAACAAAAAAAAAAAAAGAGGCTTCTCAGTCCTTTTTTGCATGAATTTACTGTTCAGAAGCAACTTGACGTATCAACTCCACTATATAATAGGAGAGTCCCAAAGAATGCTAGATAGGTTAACTTGATTTTCAAGCTAGCCATCTTTTATACTTACACAGGTCAAAATGAACAGGTCCTCAGGCCAAAATCAGTGCAACTATTAGTATCAAAGGAAGTAACAGGGGTAATAAGCTACCATTTATTCTAGTTACTTCACGTTCTACTGCATTGATACATTGTGGAAAACAGGTTATGCAACTAAATTAAAAACACAAGATATAAACTTGTTATTTGTATTGAGGTCTTTAACCTGGAACCCATACCAATGCTATTACTAAAAACTCAAGCTTTCAATTCATTTAGTTACTTTAAAGTCAATGTTTTTGATTTGCTGCTTGCAAATGTGTCAAACAAAATAATAATAAATGCCTCAATAAACGAGTACACAGGAAGACAGCTGGCTACGCTCTTGAACGATGAAAATGCTACCTCCATTTGTTAGGTGCAGAGGTTTTGTGCAAATATTAAAAGTAATGGTGAGCTACAGTACTGATTTGTTAGGCACAATTTTTTTTTTCAAAAGAGCTTTGAAAAATCTTGTTTCATTAATTCTGCAATAGCAGTAAATGCCACTGGTTAATTGCTTCAGAGGTTGAAAATGGATGTACTGTTCGTAACAGGCAAACAAATATTAGCATGGAATCTTTCTAGCATTTTAACTAATGTGTTCACCTATTTTAAACAGTTAATGTTTTTTACTTGAATAGTGAATAAAGAAATTTCATATACACACATTCAACATTTGATTCCAAATCAGGAAAAGACCACAAGTCAGTTTTTTAAGCTTCAGAATTCAACAGATGAATAGAACAGAACAGGCATCTAGATGAAATAATGCATGTAGAGCCAATTAAAGAATACACTGCTTGAACATACATGCATTTTCAGAGATATTTCTGCAAGTACTTTGCAAACTTCATAGTCTGTGACTGCAAACTTCTATGAAAGGCTCCCAAATATGTACGAGTTTTATCCTATCTCCAACCAGGCAGTGTAAAAATGGTAGGATGCTGTTGCTTGTGAATTAATACTATTGATAATGAGCTGAGGTTGATAACTACAATGTAACAGCAGCTAAGGCTAAGGAGAGGTTGACAGGTCAAGTCTGATTACCAGGCCAAGATCTGCAACGAACAACTCATTAAAGATAATCCCTAAATGATGTCTATTTCTAGTTTGCATTCCTGCCGTGGATTACGCAAAATTCTAGAAACAAGCAAAAAGCATATTTCTGGAGTAGGTTGAATTATTAGGAAAACAGGATCATTATAATTGGTATCTAAGAACCAACTGACTACATTTGAAAATAACTGAATTAGAATGTTAATGTTCATGTTTTGATGCCTTACAGTTTAATTCACAATATGATATTAACAAGTAAAAGTGTTTAAGATGGTCTTAAAAATTTCAAAATGAATTTCTCATATCAAAACAGAAGACTGTATCAGACACAGATCCTCAAGATCACAGAAATATAAATCTTTCAGCTGACATAGAACCAGTCACATATGCAATTATGTAATTGAAAATATTTTTAAAAATTAACAGAATAAACTCACCAATTAGCAAGCAGTATTTCTAAATTCATTTATGGGATGCAAGCAGTACTGAAAAAAATTGACTTCAAGAAATTTACCATCACATTCTCAAACTACTGCAGCTGGTATATCAAGGTGCTATTTGGAAGGCAGTTGAGAGCCCAGGTCTTCAGTACTATTGCCAGAATGTTGCCTTCAGCCATTTCTCCATATTGTAAAGTGGAAGAATTGGAGTGGTGGAAAGCCAGTATGAGATGTTGGGGACCTCAGGAGGAAGCCAAGAATAACAACCTTGGCACTTCTAGCTGAAGATGCTTGCAAATGCTTCAACATTCTTTTCTGCACTGAGCTGACAGCCTCCCAAATCATAATGGAAATGGATATTTATGGAGCCTCCTCGTCCAGCATGGTGGTTGTGCCACATAATCCAGTAGAGATATTCTCATGTCTGAAGTCAGGATTTCATCCCACAAGATCTGTGCAGTGGTCACTGCTGCCATGCAAGTCCCTACTGCTGAGTACATTTTCAAAGTGGGTACTGGTTTGCTAGTTGAGGAAGGGTTGTAAGTGGCAAACAGATTATCATTTTCTTGCTTATGATTGACCATGCCTCCTTATGGAATTCAGAGTCAATGTTGAGGTCTACCAACTATATACTATTGTTGTCTCACCTCTGGTTGGGACAGGACATATCTAGGATGGCAATGGAGGAGCTTCCCAAAACTATTTTAGGACAGGAAGCCAGCCATTTCTACCTACATTTTCCCTGACTTTGATGTCTTATTCTCTAAGAGTAGCTGGAAATTTTAAAGCAGTTACTCAGTTACAAACCTTCATTAGTAACAACACTTGGTTTCTTAAAAACAAAGTGCAGCATTATTTACAGCACTAGAACTTTTAGATAATACCATAAGCCCATAAGAAACAGCTACAAGAGTAGGCTGTTTGGCCCCTTCAGCCTGCTCTGCCATTCAATAGGATCATGGCTGAGCCGACATTCCTCATGCCCACTTTCCTACCCTTTCACTGTAATCTTCAATTCCCCTGAGGATTAAGACTCTATTTCAGCCTTAAATATACACAAGGTCTCTGCCCCCACAGCTCCCTTTGGCAAAGAGTTCCAAAAGTTCTCAATCCTCAGAAGAAACTTGTCCTCATCTTGGTCTCTTAAATTGACATCTCTTTATTCTGACTATGCCCAGAGGTCCTAGACTGCCATGAGGGGAACATCTCTCAGAATTCACCTTGTCAAGCCTCTTAAGAATCCTACATTTCTATGAGACCACCTCTCATTCTTCTAAACTCAGTACATAAAGTCCTAACCTGTCCAGCCTTTGATCATAAGACAATCCCTCCATACCAGGGATCAGCCTAGTAAACTTTCTGAATTGCCTCTAATGAAATAATATCTGTCCTTAAATAAAGGGGACCAAAACTGCTCACTAGTATCCCAAATGTGGTCTCACCAACATCTTCTACAGTTGCAATAGGCTTCCCTATTCTCATGCTCCAAATCTCCTTGAAATAAAATCCACTAAAATATCCACTTTTGCTTTGTAAAAGGATCACTAATTCCTAGTGAGTTGATAGAACATTCGATGTACAGATGGATGTGTTTTAAGAAAAATATTACCCCCTCCTCTCAGAGTTCATTCTGCCAGAATCCTTGCGTGATCATTCCAACAAGGATTCTTGTGATCTGCTCCTGGGAATCAACATTCCTCCTCGACTTTGCTGGGGGAGAAAAATGCCAGAATTCTTAAATGTTGCTCAATTGCCTTGTCTACAAGCATAAATCTGACTATCCTTGAGGATAAGTAGCCCAGAATCAACAAAAGTACATGCTCCTCTTGTACTCTGTGCTGTAAACAGGGGAAAAAGTTGCAACAAATCTACAATCTTGTTTAAAGCATAATTTTGTACTTCTGTCTAACACGCTGCCTATAGTTCAAGTTGAATAGCTGACATCTTTCAAACTCACCTTTCATTATCTTGACAAATTGTCTCAGTCACTTTTTCTAATGATTAAAGTCACACTAGTCGTTCCACTGGTCGCAAAGTCTGTAATAACCATGGGAATTTCTCTGAACTCAATGGGTTTGTGACAGTTTTAGGGTAACTAAATTTGTAAGCCATGTACAGAAATTACTTCATCGCTAGTCTATGCAATGTCACTACAAATTGTTTTGTTTCATCCCAGAACCCCATCTGCATTGAGAATGTTTCACACTGACCATAAGTTATCTTAGTGGCACTGAAGTCAATTACCCTGGAAACATTTTCCCACAACAGGAAGCAAAGCCAACTTTTCTTCTATCATAATTGACAATTTCGCTGCACACTTCTTTATTGATAGATTCACTAGTCAGTTCTAAGTTTAAAAATAATCTAGAAAAAAGGGAAGTTTAAGTATAGCTGTTGGGACTTTGATATAAATGTTAGGGCCCAATCCATTAATTGGTTACCTAACTCCAAGTACAATACATTATTTGCGAATTGAAATCTTTCACAACACATCCACAATAACTGGACCTATCAATGCAACCGGCATAATCAAGTTATTACAAGAAATTTATATTCACTTATTTGCATTAGTCAAGGTGCATCTAAAGCTGACCAAAGTACAGCCAACCACTAAAAATGTTTACTAATTTTGATCATGTTAGGAAAGTGAAAATTCTAACCACAGCTGCTGTACTAACCTATGAACATGAAATAAGCCTCACCTGTCACTTTCTAATTGAGATGAAATGTTAGAAGGAAAATAGTGCTAAATTACATTATCTTATGCACACAGATGCAATTCTGTAAGTCACAGTCTAATCAATTAAAAACTTTTACATATCATCTGATCATATTTTGCTTCTTAAGGATCTAAGGAGTAAAAAGCTTATATGCTGTAATCGAACCAACTACCATTTTAGATGAAGTCATCAAAACTCTCAAATACGGCTGAGATTATTTTGATAAATGTTTAGGTTATACAGCAGTCACCAATCAGAACTAGAAGTGTTTTCAATTACAATGCTCTGAACTAGTATCACTGACACTACAAGATGAAGCAGACAGCAAGAGAGATTAACCGTCTTGACACTGTGCAGAAAACCTCTTGACTGTTCCAAAATTGTATAATTGCATGGGATACTAGATTAATTATATATTGTTTGGAATCCATAAGTCAGAATCTTTCCCCTCCTCTTTTCCTTCTACAAGATGGGGTTATTTTATGCAAACAGATGCAATTTAAAAAAGGTAAAAACTGTTTTTCCTTGGCCAATATAAACCACATTTTGGGATAAATTTTTTTAATGCCAGTCAAGGATCTTATTGTTGTGATAAGAAGCAAAGATTATAAAAATAAAAGGTGAAAAAGGTAGGGAAATAAAGGACAAGACAAAACATTCATGTCAAAGGTCAATGGTTTTATACTGAATATTTTTTTATATAACGATTGAGTTACACTAACTATTGAATGTAAATGTTTGCTTTAAAGATGTCAAGTACGTATGCAAATTATAAACAGTTTTCTTTTTAGTTTACCATTATCATTGCTATAGTTCAACAGGAAGCCACAAAAGACAGTCAAGAGCTTCTGATTGGCCGCATCAATATTACTGCATAGTGTCTGTAAGTGGTCAACTACTATCTGTGCGCCACCAGATAGGTCAACTGCATTCCTGCCCTCATCTGCAAAACAAAAAATTAAATTAAAAAATCTACAACATAAATATAAATTCAAATAAGACATTCTGGAAACAAAGTAAAATGCTTTAAAATAAGCTAAGCAATATTCATAATGAATATTCATAATATTCATATGTTTTCATAAAACAAAGTAGGGGGTTGCATTCTAGAAAAATGCATAAAAATATTCAAATAGAATAAAATAAATAAATACAATTTTGAAACCAATGTTTGACAATACATGAATGAAGGAATTATCTAAAAAGAAATTGATTTCACTGGGTCCCTGAAACATAACCATCTCATTGCTGAACACTTCAAGGAAGTTTTCATGATTGAATTGACCATTAAGAATCAAGACAAAGACCTTAACATTTTTACCTCTTCCACTGATGCTCACCTCTAAGGTAAGAGGAAAGAAAAAGTGGAGTAATACAGGTCTTTTTAAAGTGAGATGCTGTACTATCTTGTGCAGATGCATTATCTCTGAATTGTACAAACCAATTTCCTTTAGTTCACAGATCAACATCCAAATTTAAATAGTTAAGATATCACAACATGGTGGTGGCAAGAACTTTGAAAACTCGTGTGAACATATGGGGAAAAAATATAAATGTGGTCCTTACTGTATCTTGGTCCGATCACTATCAATAATGTTGCCTTGCCCTTTCACAGTTCAATCTGTGTTTTACACGACACAATATGATGTATAATGGCAATTAAGGAGGAGGTTCTCACAAGTAACCATTTAAAATGAAACTATTCGTGTTTTGGATTTTTAAAAAAAAGTTAGACTCCTTGACAATCAAAACTCCAACATTTATGGGGAACAGATAAGAAAGTGAAGTCGAATTCACAAATCAGATGGTGCAGTAGGCTTGAGAGGCTGAATGGTCTACTCCTGCACCTACTCGTGTTGCTTCACAGAAACTGTGACAGTGGCTCTTTGGGAAGATGCTGTACCAGAAATGTTATTCACTAAAAATGAAAGCTTCAGGGTGTACTAATGAATACTTCACTCAACACCTGGATCAAAATTTACCTATAGCTCAGGTTTGTGATGTACTTTAAACACTTGGCTCAAATTAAATTTTGATGCGCTGTTCAATGTGTTTTCCTATTTGTTATAATCCCAGCTGATGTTATTACTGGATAAGTCAGATCCCAGACAAAAATTTGGCTTGATAAGTCATACTGTTAAATGGTTTTGGTTATAACAAAGTGGTCTCTGGCTGAAATATATGGATACAACACAAATAAATCACCATCGACAAAAGAACTGAATTCCAGAAGTGAGGTGAGAGCAACAGGCGAGAGTCATCAAAGTGCCCTAGCAAAACTGGAATCACTGGGTATCAGGGGCAAAATCCTTACTGGTTGGAGTCATACCTGGCACAGAGGAAGATGGCAATGGTTGTTGGAGGTCAGTCTTCTCAGCTCTAGGGCATCTCTGAAGGAGTTCCTCAGGGTAGTGTCCTAGGAACATCCATCTTCTGCTGCTTCATTAATGATCTTCCTTCCATCATATGGTTGGAAGTTGGGATGGAAGTTCACCAATGATTGCACATTGTTCAGTACAAGTCGCAAATCCTCAGATACTGAAACAGTCCATGTTCAAATGCAACATGGTCTGGACAATATCCAGGCTTGAGCTGACAAGCGGCTAGTAACATTCACACCACCCAAATGCCAGGCAATGACCAAGTCCAATGAGATTATCTAATCAAAAGTCCATGACATTCTGTGGTGTTACCATCACTCAATCCCCCACTATCAACACCCTAGGCATCACCATTGACCAGAAACTCATCTGGACATGTCACATAAACAGTGGCTACAAGAGCAGGTCAGAGCCTTGAAGTATTGTGGCAAGTAACTTACCTCCTCACTCCCCAAAGCACGTCCACCATCTACAGGGCACAAGTCAGGACTGTGATGAAATACTCCCCATTTACTTGGATGGGTGCAACTCCAACACTCAAAAAGCTTGACACCATCCAGGACAAAGCACCACATGCACAAGCATCCACTCCCTCCACCACTGATGTTCAGTAGCAGCATTGTATACCATCTACAAGATGCACTGCAGAAATTCCCTAAAGCTCCTCAGACAGCATCTTCCAAACCCATGACCACATCCGTCTAAAAGGACAAGGGCAGCAGATGTATGGGAATTCCACCATCTGCAAGTTCCCCTCCAGGCTACTCACCATCATGACTTTGTAACATATTGTCGTTTCTTCACTGCCACTGGCCAACATCTTGGAATCCCTCCCCAAGGGCATTGTGGGTCAACCCACAGCATGTTGAGTGCAGCAGCTCAAGAAGGCAGTTCATCACCTTCTCAGAACCACTAGGGACAGGCAATAAAATGCTCACCAGCCAGCAATGTGCACACCAAGAGTGAACAGAAAGAAAAAAAACGGAGATATGCTGATATGCCTCAATCAAAAATTGCCTTCCAACAGGTATGACAGAAGTGTGGGATATGAGTGAGTAGCCATTTACCAAAATGTTTGGAAATTGGTTTCCTCTAAACTTGTGCCACTAAGAACTGACAAGATTAACAGAAGAGTTCTGTATATTCAATGTAAGATGCTTGCACACTGCAAATAACAGTGTCAAAGAAACAGCATTCCAATTTAGTTGATGGGCTGGGGACAAACTAAAGCTATAATCTTTCAGTGCAAATTAAATTGATACAAAAGGTCTTCATTTAGTGTAGCCGGTCACAGCAAGCAGCATGGGGACTTAGCCCACTTAATTGCAAGAGAGGCTCCCCATGTTCCCTTTGGAGCAAACCTTTCCAATTAAGTTTGAATGTAAAAGGTGCCAACAATATGATTCCAGGCCACCAGAGCAATGCCAATGAGGCTGATTAATAATTTAACTGACACCTATATGCTTTGTATAATTTGCAACTCAGGAATTAAATGGGATCCAGTCTCCAACAACCTGTTCCCTCCACCCCACCTCACCCCCCCAACTAAAAAAAAGCAGAGTACCACATCCCAACCATTCGACAATACCCATTCCACCATCACGCAACTTCAGTCTCAGTTCCCATGATGCTGCTGGAACTCTGGTGGCTGCACTGCCAACAAGTACCACCGTTATGACTAGGATTGGGGCATGGTGCTGGGCTGTCAGGTTCTGACAGGTTTGCAGTTCTTGGGGGAAAGGCCTGTTGCTGCTGGTGAGTTCAATTACAATGAAGGCTTGACAGTGGCTACTTAAGTATCGATCAGGCCGCTCACACGGAATTCATGGGGAGTCCCTACTGATTCTCTGACTGCTAGGCAAGACCTCCATCAGCCCAACAGAATACTAGTCCATTTAGTAGAAAGATGTGTAGTCCTAAATTCAGTAAGAGCAGAGTACAAGATTATGTATTTACTTGTGAAAAGACAATTTTTCCTACCTTAATTTAACCTTCCAGAATAACAATGCTGCAGACAATTATTTCTTGAATTGTTCTAGGGTTTACATTTCTAAAATTCTACCAGGAAGTCCATTCCAAGTGAAAAAAGTCAAAGTCAGTCAGTCAAGATACAAACCCAAAATTGACCTTTCATGCTGTCCCTGCATTGTTAATCTAGCAGCACAAATCCAGTTTTTCAATAATTCACTATTTCACATCAATTCTCAGATGCTTGGAGCTCAAGGATTCAAAAAGTGAGAACAACTGAACTGATGAGGAATTGCATTAGACATCCCACAAGGGAAATATTCAAAGCAAAGATGATCACACTTCTAAACCACACAAATGAAACCTGAGGAATAGGTCACTAAGACAATCAAAAGATAGTCTCTAAGGAATGCTCATGAAAGGTTGAACAACTGTATTAGCCCCTGTGTGTACATCAGCATGATTTGATCAGTACATTACTTGTCAGACTGTCTGGCTCTGAATGGTCAGTGGGCAATCAAGAACCAGAGGTCACAGTATGACCTTGGAATCAAGGATACTTCCAGCAGTAACGTTTAGAAGTCAGGCCACCAGAAAACAGACTGAAATTGTAGCAAGTGCCACATTCTCAGACAGGGATGAGATAATATTCTCTTCCTCTTGGTCTAATCAATAATATCAGTTAATCTTGCTCAGATACAAGCAGCAACTGCTGCAGTGACTCAAGTTGCGATCAGCATGACAAATAAGAGGAACTGATGGTTTTAAAGCCTTTTAAATATGGCTCTGCCATTGAAAAATAAACTAGTCCTCCCCGTGCATGTTCAGGGAATGCAACTATGTCCCAAAGATTCAAAAGTAGAAGGGCATCCTTCCTTGAACAGTGGAGTAAATAAAAAAATGATGACACTTTGGAGATGATAAACCCTCTCCGATTCTGCTATTATCCTCAAAAAGGATGCCTACAACTCAAGATACCCGAAATGTTGAGCCTGCAAAGTTCTCAAAGACAATGGAGATGGTTGCAGAGTCTAAATGGAAATGCCCAAGCAAATTTGTTGGCTGCCATTTCAGCTTTAACAAATATCTGAATTACTGACTGGCCGTCTGTACAATTGCGAAGGCCTAGCTGTACATTTGTCAGAGGACAGAAGACTTCCTTCAGAATTTAAATATAGCAATAAATTTTTAAGTCATAAAAATCAGGTACTAATGGTCTGCAGAGGAAAATAAGCAGATATATCATGCAATAAATCATAATTCCCAAGTTGAACTAAGGGAAACTTAAGTCCAACAGCTTGTAAGACATAACATTGCAGAGAATATTCAACAACACTGGGATGTCATCCATCTTAAACTTTACTTGTAATACACAGGATATTGACTTCGAAACACCAGTGCATGGGGATACAGAAAACAAAAAAAAAAGTACTCCACTTACAAGCTAGCTTGTCATGAATGCTTAAAAAGGGATAAATGTAATGGTGTTGGATTGATGTTTGAACTAAATTTTTTTTAAGATGCTGATGTATTTTTCCATCAAGGTATTTTCTGATTGTTTTTCTTCTCATAATTTAGTCACTTCCTTAGGCTATTCGCATAAAGCACATTATTCTATATTCTATATTTAACATGTCTTTTCACGTGTGAATAGTGCTGAACACAATTTTCCTTTCTTCCATACAAATCAATGTCAATATCTGCACTGGCATTTATTTAGCACATATTCCAAGCATTTTTGAATGGTTGGTAGGAAAGAATAATACTTTAAGCATGAAAAAAAGCTAGAATAAACAGGTTAAAACAGAACATTTCACAAAATTTATACAATTAAGCTACTTATCTATACAATTAAAGTATTATTTCATATAATGTTCTAATATTTTTGGAATTTGCAAAGTTTATTGGACCTGCACACATGATGAATATTAATTAATACAAATGATTGGATGGGAATAAATGAAACCATACATCAACCAGTCATGCCTTAGAATAGTGAACAATCAAAACATTTCTCAATACAGACTTGTGGACCAGGAAGTTAGATACATTCTCAATGTCATATGTATTAAAGGTTACTATAAAGGAATTTAAGTGCCATTACTTAAGGATGTTTAAACTCTGTTCTTTAGCAGCTGTAGAAAATTCACATCAAGTATAAAGAACATGAACGTTGTCAATACCATAACATTCTTGCCAATATTTTCACAATTCTCTTGACAGACAGGCTGAGCTTTCGTTTACTTAACTATCATTTGTGGTTTAATTCATCATATTATATTGAGGAACATTCACCAATTATAATTTTGTCTATATACCAAAAAGTGGACCTAAACTCTGTACCATGAAGTGCAATGGTAAGGAAATCACAGCTGAAGGTAAATCTCACAACACATTAGGGATAAGGAAGAGGGGTAGGTAGGAAATGGTCAATCAATAAAACCAACAATACTTCTCATCAATGCTACAGGTATCATATACTGATTATGTTAACCATGAATCAACAGTAGCAAAACAGAGGCAGCAAATTATTGTCCCCGTATCAGCAATTCAGTACAGAAACAAAAAATGTGACTGGTAATTTTGTTTCTCAGAAGGCTCGGATAACACTCAGAATTATAATACACCAGTCCTAGAACATAATAAATTCAGACTGCTCGTGGCAGGAGTCTTAGAATCAGATTTTTTTTTTTTGAACAACATTGAAGTTGTCAAAACTTAGTTTTAATCATACCTAAAGCTAATGCGCATATTAATTTTACAAGGTCTCAAAACCTCTTGGTACCTCCTGACACATTCATGCATGTACTCAAACATCATTTCTAGTTAAAATAGTGAGGAATAATGACCGAATGATTTGTATATTTCATCTTGGCAGTAGAGTATTAGTACCATTAGCTGTCTGTTAGTAAACAGATGTTAATAATCTTAAATATGGACGCGAGTACCACAGCATTGCAACAGTATTTTAATTCTGGACTTACGGCTATCATAGCAAATGTTCCCGAGGGCACGTCCTGTTTGAAGGAGCACTTCCTGATCTCTGTTGTTCAACAGCTGAACCAAAGGTGGAATCAATGCTGTGTCCACACATGAGTTTCGCATGAATTCTGTAGACAGTATAGATAGCAACTCAACATGTGTGTAAAATAAGTGATTTGCACCACAGCACAAAGTTTGTAAGTGAAAATTTTGATGAGGAATTCACTTCTATGTTTCACGTTGATGCTTATATGGAAAGGAGAGTGTATAATATTTCCATATCTTATAAATACAACTATTGAGTAGTGTAATATTTTTGGCTTCAACTGAAACTGTGAAGCACGTTTCAACAATTTTGTTGAAAGCACAAAAAAATTGTGTTGCTATTTCAAACACAAAAAAGGAGTACACATGTAACAGTCCAGTCCTCATTTAAGAGCAATTTCACATTTATTTGGAATTATGGATAAACTGACTTGCTACCATTTTATTTAAACAAAACAAATTGCTGTATGAGCAATCCAAAAGCAACCATTTTTCTGCAAGTAATTTACAAAACGGCTTCATTAAAATGGAAGCTACTGACAGATAAGAGACAATTACGAGAAGCCAAAATGTCAGTGCACAATCCTGTTAAAAATTTAATTTAAAAATTTCTCACTTTTCTCCAATTACATTGATAATAGGTAGCATTTTTTGCCCGCCCGCCCCAAAACAAAAACACCAGGCAGTTTGGTCCTAATGCAACTCTTACCAGATACTGAGTAGTGTAAACTTCTGCAAATTACCAACAAAATTTCAATGCTTTCCTCAAGAGGACTCAATTAGAACAGCACCCTCAACACTACCACTTATTTCTATATTAAACATACTACATAAATATATGTTAATAGTCACAAAACAGAAACTCATTGTAAACAACAATGCTGTGAGCAAAGACAACAAAAAAAACTTTGAAGAAATTACACAATGTTGGAACAGAACCAGACATACACAAAGATTTTAGGGATTGTGTTAGAATACAGCTAATGATGGTACTGGTTAGGAGCACAGGAGAGATGCAACTAAGACCACTGGTGAAAAAGAGCTTGTGTATGAATAAAGGCTAGGATGAGATGAACGACATAGAATGAAGGGTAATCAATATGGTCACTGTAACCTAGAATCAAAACTGAATTGATGATGTCAGATTGGTAGGGAAGCAATGAAAGCAAGAACAGCAGGTAGACAGAATAGGATGAAGGAAATTGGAGTTCATGCAGGGTGGTAGGTTGTTAATGCAAATGTTGAGATATGTTGACTGACCTGTAACTTCCTGGTTTATCCCTTCCTCCTTTTTAAAAAATAATTGGACAGAGTTAGCTATCTACCTGTCTCCAGCACCTTACTGTGGCCAGAGATTGGAAAATCACTTCCATGGCCAGAATATCAACTCTCTCAACTGCCTGTGACACATCTCATCCATGCATGCAGATTTATCCACTTAAGGTTGCTAAATCTCCTTTTTTTCCCTAATATGTCATAGTCCTCCACCCTGATGCCTACATCTGTGCTGTCCTTTCCCATGTAAAACAACAAATTGTCATCTACGCACATTTGCTGACTATCTTCCTGTCACATTCTTCCCCCAATAAAATTATTATTAAATTGAGCACATAACAAGAATATGCCTACACAAACTGTGTCACTGAAGTTATACCTTTGCTATTCAACAAAGCTTTGCATTTCCAATTTATTTCTGAACACATAGGGCAGAAGTAGTTTTACTCTCCACATTCTGTACTTATTTGATCTATAAATTTCAAAAGTTCTACTCTTTAAACAAGAGAAAGAAATTGATGTAAAATATTAATAAAATGCATGATTTAAAGTTTGAATTGAACAACACCTGCATATATTCATCTATTTATCTTCTGTGGTCCAACCCAGATAACTAACTTGAAGATTGCACTGAACCTTGTTGGTATAATGTAAGACAAGATCAAATAATTTTTCTAATTAAGGACTTAGAAATAAAATTGGTCATTATCAGATTGCAGATTTATTATTTTCTTACTCTGAAACCAATCAACATAATATTCATTGCAAGATTTTAAAGTTTATATAATTGTAAATAGATGGATTGAAAAAAAAATTCAAAAAACACAAAATATACTGACAGATGAGGTGCAAAACTGAAGATGTTCCAGCAGAGAAAGTTCTTGTTGAAAACCTCACCATTTTTGGCTATTTCTGCTATGATGTTTGCTACTTTTGCTGCGCAGGAACAATGTGGAGACAACAAACGAGGGAAAACTTGAAGGATTCCACTCTCTTGGACCTTTAAGCTAGTTTCCGCATCTGCAACAAACATAGCAATAACTAATTAAAACAGGTACAAGCAATGAGATCTTAGCCTTGCCAAGCAACAATAAGATGGTCCAGATATGTATTTGGTGTGGGTGAAGCTTCTGACCTGTTCAGATTCGAATTTATAAACTACACATAGGCCATGCCAGTTTATTTCCAAGTCAGCTATACATATTCTGAAAGAGTGTATAATACACAACATCCACCATCAATTGTATCAACAAACTGAACTCACTGAGTGTCTTTAATAAATGTTTCCCAAGGTGTGTCAGTGGTATGAGGAAGTGAGATGCAAACCAAAGGAGATGTTAAGATAGGTGGTCAAAAAACTCAAATCTAAATGCATCTAAAGAGAAATCATGGCAAAGGAGATGGTGCTGAGGTTTAGGTAAAGCTTTAGACATCAGGGTTTAGGCAAATAAAGTCAAATACCTGTGAAAGCACAGAGATTAGTATTGCTGCCTCACAGTGCCAGGGACTCTGGTTCGATTCCAGCCTTGGGCAACTGTCTTCATGGGGTTTGTATGTTCTTCCCATGAGACGCTCTGGTTTCCTCTTACAGTCCAAAGATGTGCCATGCTAAATTGCCCTATAGTTTTCAGGGATGTGTAGGCTAGATTGATTGGCCATGATTAATGCAGGATTATGGGGACAGGGTGGGGAGTGGGTCTGCATGGGATGTTCGGAGGTTTGGTGCAGCCTCAATGGGCCAAATGGCCTCTATTGCACTGTAGTGATTCTATGATTCAAGAGAGATGAAAAGCGATGGATAAACTTGCACAATTGAATAAAAGTAGCAGAAAATTCGCTCAGAAGGTGGAGGATGTAACACTTTCCAGGACAGCTTCACAATAATTATGTCTGGAGATTAACAGGAATGTAGGAGTTTTATCAACAGATAGGTTGAGGAAGTAAAAATGTTACAGATGAAACAGGAAAGGGCTTTTGAAAAGGTGGCCAGCAGAGAAGACGACTCAGTAATAACAAGTGAAAGTACAGATGAGTCATAGAGAGTTACATGGACAGCATAGAGATGAGGATGAGAAAGGAGCCAAAGATGGATTGTTTGGGGACTTTGGAAGCTACAGCACAGAATTGGGAAACTCCACTGGTGAAAATGCCCTGGCTACAGCTGAATAGCTCAAAGTGAAACAAAGTGAAGGGATTGCAGAGCTGTCTAACAGAAGAGGTGGAAAAGAGCAAGGGAGCACTCAGACTGTCTGTATTGTCTCTTGGTCTCTTTGGGTCAGGAAATAGGTCAACTTCAAATGAAGGGTGGTTCTTTAACCTTAATTAGTATTCATCTGCTTTCTTTTTTATACAAAAGATCAACATTGACTTAACAGTAGGATCATTCTTTGGGGAAAATGACAGCGTCCATTATTAAGAAAGAAATAGCAAGACAATCAAACAGGATCTTTCGTGAAAGAAAATCTGTTTGATAAATTTGCTCCAGATTTTTGACGATATAACAAGCAGAATTGAAGGGGAGCCAGTAGATGCAATGTATTTGGATTTCCAGAAGACATTCAATAATATGCCACATAAAAGGTTACTGAACAAGATAGGAGCTCACCATATTAAGGGTAATGTATTAGCATGGATTTTTCTTCAGTAAATAGCAATAACTTCATTCGATTTTAAATGTGACACTGTTAATGAAGCTATAAAACATCTCTCTGAAAATGAACTAGACATGACTGTTGCAAAAAGTTAATGCATTCATTGTTAAAGCTACATGGTACAAATCCCTCAGAAATCAAGTTAGGATTTGTTGCTAACAGTCTTGGTTGATGACCATATTAACTTAGTAATGGTTTAAATTGAAGCCGGAATCTGCAAATGATCAACAGATTCGCCATCCACAGAAAAACTTACAACATATCACCCTTCAATGACTTCACATAGAAACTTATTAAATCCAAATTCCATAACTATGTGTGATTTGCTTGGTTTTCTTTGTTCTTTAATCCTCCAGCTATATCCTGAAAAAGAAAATCATTTTAAAATTGTTCTTTGAGTCTCATTCCAGCATTGTTCCAGTCATAGTCCAACTTGAGGTGGGTAAAGATGACTAAATCTACAGCCAGAAATGGAGTAAACACCATCTTTCAGAGGTAAACGTATTTTGGTACATCACGATAATTAAATGATGACAATAAAAACCTATTTTCTTCCAAATTCTTTGAATTTTCAGCCCAATTGGTGTATCAGAGTGGATGTTATTTCAAACATCTGGAAAAACAAGCCAGCTTCCAAGATACATTTTGGAAGGTGCCCTACAGGCAACAATTTTGCCTATTAATCGGAAGGTTTTGGATCAGTTCCCTAGTGCAATTCAATTCAAAGCAACAATTTAAAGTGTTCTGTGCAATATCATGCCATGTCCATTCCTCAGTAACATAACATTGGTGATTGGTATGTTAAAATCCTTAATATAAAATGCACTCATACCCAACATTAGGAAGTAATCAGGAAATCGATCAAGACCTAGAGACATTCTTTGATCTTTAGTTTTATAAGTGTGGCTTGCAGTATTGGAGGCAGGATGGACCATAGTAAAGGACTATTCACACCTGACAACCTTGAAAGAATTAAAATATCGCTCCCAACCAAATTTTAAAATTTGTTGAGTACTGGGCTGAAAAAAGAGAAAAGAAAGGCAATGTTAGTATTTAAGATCCTTATTTGGGGCAAGGGTAAGGATCAAGAGAAGGAAACAATTCCAGTTAGAACAAAATCTGTTTTTGGGAGCTACTGATTAGGAAATTCAAGTTGTTCCAAGAAGCTCTAGAGCACTTCTTTTTTGACAGTAAAGAATTCAAAAGATTCTGTTTAAACAAGGACGTCAAGCAGTTAGAAACATATACACAAATGTAAAGTTTAATAGGATTCAAATGATTGAAATCTCCTGCATCAGTCAGTTTGAATCAGTGAAATGAGTGCACCTTTAAAAGGACACATTCCTGATTCTAAAAACCAGAAAAAGAGGAATTCACTGCCCTAGCCACTGGAATCTACTGTTAACTTGTAGCTTAAATCTGCATCAAAAGTAATTTCAGTTAGACATTTTTAAATAAAAACTGAAGAGGGCTTTTGTATATTTTTAGAAGGAATTAAACACTTCTAAACTAAGAATATGTTTAATACTCATACAGTCAAATAGAGATCATAATTAAAGCTAATGGTAAAGATTTAGGTGAAATAAATTTGCAGTTTGTTGTCTTTTGCACTTACTTTTTAAAACAGATTTAGATTTTAGTATGCTGGCTTATTTCATGCAGACCTTATGCTTTCTCTCAATGAGAGGAGGAAAAGGGTTGGAAAAAGCAAACTAGCTAGTTTTTCTCACTGGCAGAATTTGACAGGTTAGACTGGATTATGAAAAGCCAGATAAGAATTCAGATTGCTTCTCTTGTCTCTGAATTTGTAATAAATTGGCACAGATGCAAGCCTTATATAACTTGCATTAAGATTGCAACTCAAAACCTCAGAGGGTCATTCTGGATGAGAGAACTCTGATCAAAGCAATTGCTTTGAAATGACTAAATAGTCTGTGCCCATACTGTAGAGGTTTCTACAAATGCAAAAATTTAGTTTAATCCACAATGATGCCCCATAATCTGAAACATCTCTAATGTTTCGCCACTTGTCCGAGCCTCTAAGGCAGGATATCTAGATACAGATTTCCAGGCGCTGACTGCCCAACAGTATTTCCTAAACTTTTTTCAACTGTGACACCATTTCAAGGCTGGACGAAGAACGCAGCAAATGTAGTTAGTTGGGTGGCAACATGACCGCAGAATTTCAGAACCCACGTAGGTTTGCAAGCTAACTCTTTGGGAAGTCCTGGCTTAGTATGTTGCTGGTGTGTGGCCATTCTTAAGTGAGTCTAGAAGTCAAATTTAAATTGACTATCTACCTTTGGATACAAGGACCTTAATTTATTAAATCAAAAAGTTTAGTATTTATTACCCAAAGTTATTTGTCTGTGGAGGTCATTGCAAACTGCCTTCTTGAACCACTACAGTAAGTTGTAGGACCCACAACATCCTATTAGGAAGGACAACTCAAGACTCATCAAAAATACATTGAGTAAAGATTCCTATGAGAGGGCCAAACCAACTGACTAACCAAGAAAATTAAGGAGAGTATCAAGTTGAAAAGAAAAAGCATATAAGGAGGTCAAAAAAAAAATCAATGATAGCCCTGAAGACTTGGATAAATTCAGAATCTAGCAAAAGGAGGACAAAAAAGATGATAAAGAAGGAAGTAAACTACAAGGGCAAACTAGCAAAGAAAACTGATGTTAAGAACTTCTTTAAATATACATAAAAAGGGAGAGAGGGAGAGTTCAAAGTGAACACAGGCCCATTAGAAAGGGAATCTGGGGACGCAGCTTTGGGGAAACAAAGAAAGGCAGAGTAATTAAACAGATATTTTACATCAGTCTTTACAGTGGAAGATACATTGAACATTTTATTAATACTAAAGAATTGGGGGAAGAATCAAGTATCATCACTAGAGAAGCTGTATCAGACAAACTAATGGGGCTTAAGGCAATTAAGTCCCCTGGCCCTAATGGCTTGCAACCTAGGACCTAAATGAGGTAGCTACAGAGATGGTGGATGCATTGGCTTTAAATCTCCAAAAATTGTTGGATTCCAGAGAAGTACCAGGGGACTGGAAAACTGATGTGACACACCTACTCAAAAAAGGGAAGCAAAGGGTAGCTATAGGCCGATTACAGTGATTGTTAAAGTATTGGAATTAATTAAGGATGCATTTGCAGAACATTTGGAAAATCAATCTAATCTAAGTAGACTTGGCACAGCTTCACTGCAGAGTGAAGGGCCGCATCGTGGCTCACTGGTTAGCACTGCTGCGTCACAGTGCCAGGGACCCAGGTTCAATTCCACCCTCCAACGACTGCCTTTGTGGGGTTTGCATATTCTCCCCGTGTCTGCGTGGGTTTCCGTTGGGTGATCTGGTTTCACCCCCCCAAGCAGTCCAAAGACGTGCAAGTTAGGTGGATTGGCCACACTATATTGTTCTTGGGAGTCCAGGGACGTGCAGGCTAGGTAGATTAGCCATGCTCTTCAAGGGTTGGTTTGGACTTGCTGGGCCGAATGGTCTGCTTCACTGTAGGGATTCTATGATTGTGAAAGGAAAATTATGCCTAGCTAAATTACTAAAGTTTTTTGAGGAAGTCTCAACCAGCGTGCATATAGGGGAACCAGTAGAGCTGTTGTATTTGGACTTCCAGAAGGAATCTGATACGGTACCTCAAAATGTTAAGTCATAAGTTACAGCCCAAGTTACTGGAGGTAGTATATCAGCATGGACAGAGAATTGGTTACAGGTAGTAGGGATTTGTTTTCATTTTGGCAACCAGTGACCAGTCAAGTTCCACAGAAATGAGTGCTGACAGCACAACTGTTTAGAATAGGTATACATGTATGTTAATAACTTGGATGAAGGAAGTGAACGTACTGCAGCTAAATTTGCCGACAATTCTGAAATTGGTGGAAAGGCAGATTGCAATACGGATATAAACAATTTACAAAAAGATATTGATAGGTTAAGCAGGCAAAATGTTGGCAAATGGAGCATCACATGGGAAAATGTGAAGTTCTTCAGTTTGCAAGAGGGGATAAAAGAACAATTAGTATTTAATGGAGAAAAACTACATAAAGCTGCAACACAAAAGGGACTTGACAGAACTTGTGTATAAAACAGAAAACTAGCACACAGGTACAACAAGTAATCAGGATGGCTTAATGGAATGTTGGCCCTTATTTACTACAACTGTACATGGTGCTGGCGAGACCACATCTGGAATACCGAGTGTAGTTTTGGTCCCCTTATTTAAGGGAAAGATAAATATCTTTGGAACTCCTTCCAATGGAGAGCTGCGGGGGCAGAGTTGCTATATGTGTTTAAGGCTGAGATAGATAAGATTCTTGATCAGTAAAGGAATCAAGGGTTATGGGGAAAGGTCAGAAAGTGGACATGAGGAATGTTGGATCAGCCATTATTCTACTGAATAGCATATCAGGCTTGAGGGGCCAGATAGCCTACTCCTGTTTCTATTTCTTATGGTCTTGGTCAAGTCTACCTACTCAGAATTTCTGACATGTATCAATGCATTGTGAACCAATCTAGGAATGGTGACAAGAGGGGCCATAGAAACTCCACTGTCATTCTTACTTTAGATTGAATTTGTAATTTTCTGGTTTGAATAGCTCAGTTCCAATATCCAGTTTAGATTTCCAATTAATCATCAGGCAACCTAAAATGGAATTCAGGCGATTTTATCAATGAAGAAACAAACATGCATTTAGTGAAAGAACTCAAACACCAGGATATAAACATACAAAATAAGTAGGCCATTCAGCCCATTAAGTCCATCCACCATTCAACAAGATCATAGCTGATCTGTTTGTGTTTGTAATTCCACATTCGCATCTACTCCCAGTCAACCAACCATTGATTCCCTTACCTTAGAAGAATCTTTATCTTTGCCTTAGAGGATGGCAGAACTGGGGTCATTGCATATTTTTAAAAACAGTGTTCCAAAGTCATAGCAGTCAGAAAAGATTTCTCACATCCTAAAATGGCAACCTCTAATTTTAAAACAGTGCACCCTGGCTCTGGACTCACGCAAAGGAAAGCACATTCTTCCCATGTCCACCTTAAGATCATATAATACTTCAATCAAGTCACCTCTTACTCTTGTAAACCCCAGTGGAAACAAGCCCAGACTGTCCACGGTTTCCTCATTAGACATTCCACTCATTATACACTGTTTCCAGGTATAGATCGAGTAAATCCACATGAACTGCCTCCAATGCACTTCTATCCTTCCTTAAAAAAGACCAAGAAATCAGTGAGGATGAGAAAATTAAACTCGGGGAATCAGTGACAAAGGCTAAGTAGAACGACTTCTTATTTAATAAATGTCTAGAGGTTTGATATCTTTTTTGGCTCCAAACTAAGTTATTCCAATACTTATCTAGTTGAGCATTCCACACTTAAGCTTCAGTCCACTCAAAGCTGTCCACAGTCATATCCTACACCACTCCCCTGGTGTATATAACCAGAATGCCAAAACAGAGGCTGGGCTGATAGTATGTCTAAATGTGGACCTGAATCTTTCACCAGAAAGAGTGCAATCTTCCAGGAAAGAAATTTTCGATAACACATGCCAAAAAGTTCAAAGGTGTATTAATATTGTTCAATAAGAATTCTGGTACAATGTGGCTTAGAATAATTCAATTACCAAACCTTTTGATTGGGGTACACAAAGGGATATTACAGCAATCATTTTGTAAAGTGAAAAGTTATAATTAGAAAAAAAAGCAGGACAAGGGATGAGTGATTAGTACAAGCAAGCAGACATTAGGCACAAGTGAGCAAATACTTGAGCAAAGTAGTAGGTTTCAAGTGTTATTGAGAAACAGGTGAAGAGTGGATGCCATAGTGGTATCAGGCTTTAACAGCTCAAGGCATGGCTTCCATAGATAGAAAAAAAATATTTGTTGACAGATGTAAAAGGTCAAAATAAGGGAGAGACAAAGCCACAAAGGCATTTGAAAACTGACAAGAAAATTTTAGGACCAAGTCAGAGCTGAAAGTTTCTGCCAAGGTAAGCACCTCATCGAGAAAGTGGACCATTGGAGGGCACCGAATGGGTCATTTGCAGGCTCAAGGGGGAGGCAATATTATTGCTGAACGGTTAATCCAGAGCCCAGGTAACGTACTGGGGACCTGGGTTTGAATCCCACCATGGCAGACTTTAGGAAACTGCTGTCCTTATCTGGTCTGGCCAACATGTGACTCCAGGCCCATAGCAATGTGGTTGACTCTTAACTGCCCTCTGGACAATTAGATATGGGCAATAAATGCTGGCCCAGCCAGCGTCACCCTCATCCTATGAATGAATTTTTTTTAAAAATGGAATAGGAAGACAAGACTTTGAATTAGATTCTCAGCACAAATAAGGGGCAATAGATAGGCATTTGGAGAACAGCAGAGTGAACAATGTCAAAGGCCTCACGTGAAGCTTCTGACCAGAAAGGGCTCAGGAATCACCAATGCATATCTATTTCTTTACTTCAACTACAGCACTTGTACCATAACCCAACTGAAATAAATAACTATAACAACACCCAGAACTGAAGCTGGAGCTTCTTACTCTGCAAGAGAACTGTACATTGATATAAATCAGTGGCATCCTTGCTAGTGTATTCCATCCAAGGGTTTTAAATTTTTCAGTTGCTCTCAGCCAATAAATTACCTACATCACAGATGCAGTAGAGAACATATGATTAAGACAATTATTAACAAAACTGGAAAGTCTTTGCAACTGACAGAAGTGATATTTTAGAACACATTCTCAAAAGTTACAGGGACAGTGTTGCAAATCCTAGGCAATAAAATGACAAGTATTCAAAGCACTAATTCCATTTTTTGTTGTTTTTTTCAAAAAAGAAAAGCACTTATACACAATGCACTCTGCATTGCAATTACTGGAACTAAAAAATGCCATTAGTGCAGATCATTTCACACATGTATAAAATAACTCATATTGGAACTGTAGTTTTCAAGCACAAGGGGCAAAAATAACAGTAGCATGCATTATTAATTGTTCAGCTATTCAGTCTAGAGCGCATTTCAATTTATATTTCCAGATGATCATTTGCTGTACAGCAGCACACTGCTCCATGTGGCTTGTCATTGGGAGTTAACATACACTTTATTGTACCACTTAAAAGATGTTGTTGCTTTAAAATTGAACTACACAATGAAAGCTTTTTGCATAATGGTCATTAAGAGACAGTACAGCAATCACAAACCAAGTTTAATTGAATTTAAAGTGCTACATTATAAAGCTGCTCCCAGCAAGTATTTGTTAAAACTACGCCTATATTTTCAATTTTTACCCATTATTTAAGCTACAAACATGTAATTAAGCAATACACAAGGCAAAACAGCTCATTGCATCAGGGAAGAAGTGTCTCATCTTTCTTGCTTTTGTGAAATTTTAGTTGTTTATTCCAATGGTGAGTGACATTTGCTTACTTCAGGCAGGTTATGATTTCAATGTGCTGGGTCACTAATACTGTATACTCTGGCTTGGAAAGTTAAAATTTATTAATCTCTTTTCTTGGCAAATTTTATACTGAAGGTGAGCAACATTCAACATATCACTAAGGTCAGTACTGAAAACTCCTTGGTCAAACACAGCTTTGATAGGACAGTGTAAATATCCCAAATAAAGCCTGCTTCATTCTCATATCTGGTCTGAGAAGAAAAAAAACACTAGTCAAATTGATGGGTCATACAGAGCTCAAATAAAATTTGGAGCATTAACAAAGAAAAGAAATAGAAATTCCATCCCAACAGTTTGAATTGAAAACTAAATGCAATGCTCTAATCCAATGCTAGCAATCTCTTTATTTGTCTTACTCCAAATTCTTCTCTCTACCATTGCTTTATTTGACAAAAAAAACTAACCACAGTACAATTCCATTATACTAGCAGTTAAAAGCAACCTGCAACCTCAGAATACTTCACAAACAATTACTTCTTGAATTAAGTGGCACTTGCAAAGGGATAACCTGCTCACTGAATTCATTACAGCCTTGGTTGAAAAATGGCTAGAAGAAATGAATTCCAGAAGTGAGGACAGAGTAATTGTACTTGACATCAA